GGGGGGGGGGGGGGGGGGCGCGGGGGGGGAGGGGGGGGGGCGACGCCCCCGGCCGCCTCGGATGGTGCCCTATACCCCGGCGGCGGCAAACGGAGGCAGGAGGCAGACGGCCCAGCCCGGAGTAGCGTCTTCGAGCTGCAGGTGGCCGATACTCCCGACGGCGAGAAACAGCCGCAGCTGATCGTCAAAGGGGCCCTGGACCGCGAGCAGAGGGACTCCTACGAGTTGAGCCTGCGGGTGCGGGATGGGGGCGAGCCGGCGCGCTCCTCACAGGCCATCCTCCGCGTCCTGATCACCGACGTGAATGACAACAACCCTCGCTTCGAGAAGAGCGTCTACGAGGCGGACCTGGCCGAGAACAGCAGCCCCGGCACCCCGATCCTGCAGCTGCGGGCGGCCGATGCGGACGCCGGGGTCAATGGGCAGATCGAGTATGTTTTTGGGGCGGCCACTGAGTCGGTGAGGCGCTTGCTGCGCCTGGACGAGTCATCGGGCTGGCTCAGCGTCCTGCACCGGATTGACCGAGAGGAGGTGAGCCAGCTCCGGTTCACCGTCATGGCCCGCGACCGCGGACAGCCTCCCAAGAACGACAAGGCCACCGTGGTGCTGACCATCCGCGACGAGAATGACAACGTGCCCACCATTGACATCCGCAAGATTGGGCGCATCCCGCTGCGCGATGGGGTGGCCAGTGTGGCCGAAGACGTGCTGGTGGACACCCCCATCGCTCTGGTGCAGGTCTCAGACCGCGACGAAGGTGAAAACGGTGTGGTGACCTGCACAGTGGTGGGCGACGTGCCCTTTCAGCTGAAGCCAGCCAGCGAGGGGGAGGGCGAGCCGCAGAACAAGCGCAAGTATTTCCTGCACACCTCAGCCCCACTCGACTATGAGGCCCTGCGGGACTATAACGTGGTTATTGTGGCCGTTGACTCTGGCAGTCCCAGCCTCTCCAGTAACAATTCGCTGCTGGTGCGGGTGGGAGACACCAATGACAACCCGCCCATCTTCAGCCAGCCCGTGCTGGAGGTGCCCTTCCCAGAGAACAATGCCCCAGGTGAGCGGGTGGCCACAGTGCTGGCCACTGATGCAGACAGTGGCAAGAACGCTGAGTTGGCCTACTCCCTGGAGCCTTCACCTCTGGCAGCTGAAGCGCCCTCTGGCCTCTTCACCATTGACCCAGACTCGGGCGATGTCCGCGTGCAGGCAGTGCTGGATCGCGAGCAGCGGGACACGTATGAGTTCCAAGTGACTGCTCGTGACAAGGGGGTGCCTTCCCTGCAGGGCTCCGCCCTGGTGGTGGTGCGGGTGGCTGACCGCAACGACAATGAGCCACGCTTCATGCAGGACGTCTTCACCTTCTATGTCAAGGAGAACCTGCAGCCCAACAGCCCGGTGGGCATGGTGACGGTGATGGATGCTGACAAGGGGCGCAATGCCCAGCTCAGCCTGGCCATCCAGCCGGGTGCACAGGAGCCTGGCCCTGGTGCGCCCGATGGCATCTTCTCCATCGAGAATGACACAGGCACCATCTACTCCACCATTTCCTTCGACCGTGAGCTGCAGACCAGCTACACCTTCCGCGTGAAGGCAGTGGACGGCGGTGAGCCGGCGCTCTCAGCCACGGCCACTGTCTCGCTCTTCGTCATGGATGAAAATGACAACGCGCCTGCAGTCACCTCGCCGGCCAACAGCTCCTTCACCGTCCTGCCGCCCTCCAGCAGCCCGCGGTCCGTGGTGGCGGCTGTGCAGGCCCGGGACGCGGACGTGGGCCAGAATGCAGAACTGAGCTACAGCCTGGTGGGCGGCAACCCATTCAAGCTCTTCGAGATCGACCCAGCCAGCGGCGTGGTCTCACTGGTGGCCAAGCTGTCGCCGAAGCACTATGGCCTGCACCGCCTGGTGGTGCAGGTCAATGACAGCGGCCAGGCGGCCCAGGCCACCACGGCGCTGCTCCACGTTTTCGTCAATGAGAGCCTGGCCAATGCCAGTGCTGTGGAGAGCCAAGTGGCGCGCAGCCTGCACACACCGCTGGGCCGGGACATCGCTGGCGACCCCAGCTACGAGCTGAGCAAGCAGCGGCTCAGCATCGTGGTGGGCGTGGTGGCTGGCGTGATGGCTGTGGTGCTGCTCATCCTGGTGGTGGTCCTGGCCCGCTACTGCCGCTCCAAGGGCAAGCACGGCGGCTACGAGGCTGGCAAGAAGGACCATGAGGACTTCTTCACTCCCCAGCCCCACGACAAGGCCAAGAAGCCCAAGAAGGACCGGAAGGGTAAGAAGGGCGGCAAGCAGCCACTGTACAGCAGCATCGTCACCGTCGAGGCCTCCAAGCCCAATGGGCAGCGCTACGACAGTGTCCACGAGAAACTCTCCGCTGACAGCCCGGCCCTGAGCCGCTACCGCTCGGTCAATGGTGGCCCGGGCAGCCCGGATCTGGCCCGTCATTACAAATCCAGCTCACCGCTGCCCACCGTGCAGCTTCACCCCCAGTCGCCCACTGCCGGGAAAAAGCACCAGGCTGTGCAGGACCTGCCACCGGCCAACACCTTCGTGGGCGCAGGGGACAACATCTCCATCGGGTCAGACCACTGCTCTGAGTACAGCTGTCAGGCCAGCAGCAAGTACAGCAAGCAGGTAAGACCCCCCCACACCTCCTAGACTTTCAGGCTCAGCCCAGACTCTGCAGGTGCCCTCCCATTCCCCCTCCCCACTCCGGACCCCATTGTTTGGCCGCTGTCACCGGTAGGACCTTATCTCCCCATGGTAACTGGCTTCAGGCTGTTGGCTAGTTGCTTCGAATGATCCAGCTCTCCTCTGGCTCAGGCAGGCACTCAGGGAGAGCTGAATTTGCACTCTGTGCATGGCTGGGGGATTTCCACAGAGGATGGCCATTGGATGGATGAAGCTGGGTCACTGGGTGGGTCTCAGGAATCAGGGCATTCCTAGGCATATAACTCAGCTGCAACTCAGGGAGGCTGACATCCAGCTAAGGGAGTCTTTGGTTGCCAAACACATACACACACAGCCAACTCATACTTCTCTCCCTGTTTTCAGTGCCCCCCGCCCCCTGTTTACACTCATTCACACCTGTGCCCAGCAGGCACAGGTTGAGCTTGTCTCCCTCCGATTATCTGGAATAATTGCTGTTTGGAGGGACCGCATCCTGAAGGCAGGTTGGAGGAACTGGCCTGCGTCCACCAGCAAGGGGACAGCTTGATTTGGCACTGGCTGAGCCCATTCAGGAGCTGAGCAAGCTGATTGGAGGGAGGCAGAAGTTGGGATGATTAACCATAGTTGTGAACTTCAGCTGCGGGCAAAGGAGTCATCTGCCTTCCCACGTGCGTGGAATGGCAGTCTCTCCCTCCCATTCCTGTTACACCTGTTTCCCACCCTCACCCCCCAGGTACAGCTCTTCGGGCACCACTCAGCTAGCTGCCTTGTACAACCAGTATTGCTCAGTACAACTCGTTCTCCCGTCAAAGCGTCCTGCTGTTTCTCTGTTCATCTCTTTCACAGGGGCAGGCTTAAGGAGTCCTTAGTTGTACCAGTGTTAAAGTGGAATCTCCTGCCTTATTCTGATACTGTCCAGGGACAGCTTCCAGATGTTTAAATCCTCTTAGGCTTTGTCACTGTCACCACGATCATGGATGGATGTCAGGGAGTGACTGGGAACAGAGGCAATAAACAGATAGACTTTTTACTGACTCAAGGAGGGGTGAATAAATCTGTAACACAGCAGCTGAGAATGGTCCTCAATGGCATTTATAGAGAGAGCCAGAAGTAGCTGAGTTTATCATATTTTGTCTCCCCACATGCCATTTATCCAGTCTTTGCACTGGCACACACGTTGACATCTCTTATTTCTGACCTTCTTTGAGACAGAGATCAGGAAGATATAAAGATGTCCAAGTACTCTGGTTCCTTAGTTTGGAATAAGCACCTTTTTCAAACTAGCACCAGGTTAGAGAAAGGTAACTGCATTAATTAACATGAGTCTGAGTGGGTAAGAGGCATTGTATGGTGGTCAGGTCCTTTTTCCATTCTTTATCCTGGTTGTTTATAAGCCAGGATGCTTAATTGTGAACAGGAAACAATTTCTCATTGGTGGAACTGGATTCATATTGACAGACAACGAATAGATGCTGGATGGAAAGAGAACGTTAGCAGAGATGTCACCAAGCCTTAACCTTTCTCCCTGTCATACTTAGCTACGCATCAAACTCTGGCAGAAAGCCACACTAAAGACAGATGTGCAATTGTGCCCATCCATAAACCCATGCAAATTTGTAAGGAGAATGGTGTTACTTTGAATAAAAAGCCACATAGTCACACATTCAAGGGGCTGAAACTTGATTCAATTGCATGGGGCAGCTGAGCTTTTGAATGACACCCCTACAATTTCAGAGTTACATTTTAGTATCTGCCCGAGAAAGGTAGGGTACATTTGGCTCCCTGTGATGTTGCTGAAGTACAACTCCCAGTGGTTAATGGCTGGAGATGCTGGGAGCAATATCTGGAAAGCCACAGACACATGCTCAGCTGTGACTCTAGGAATGGAAAGTACCGTAGAACTACTAATGTTGGCTCATGAAGTAGCAGGATGGTTTGGACTGGTTCTGCTGGTAGCCAATCTAATCCAGACCAGCCTGCCACTTCATGAACCAACATTAATAGTTTCAGGGTATCTTGCTTTTCTAGAGTCTCGGTTGAGGAGATGGCTGTGGCTTTCCTGATACTCCTCAGACACCCATAAGGCAATCAACTAACATTTAGCTCACTTTACTAACAGTGGTTATATAAGAGGACAGTCTGTTGACCCATTCACCCAACTAACAGCTGTAAGTCACAAAGGTATCTCTTTCTCTCTGACCTCACAGGATGCTACAGAAAAGTGAAGTGTTTAGGCCCACCTAAAATTGCCCCCCCAAAAATGCTATCTCTGCAACCAAATGGTCACCTTTGCAAAATGAAAACTGTGCCAAATGCAGTTTCTCCCATTCTTGAGAACTATTCTATGGGGAAGGCAGGACCAATTTTTACCAAACCTTCTGTGAGCTCCCTTCCAGAATCTGGTCTCAGAGAGCATTGGCTAAATAGCCATTTATTGTCATTAAATCTCAAGAGCCATCTGCAAGCATTTGAATTCTCCAGCTCTGATGTCAGATTGCAGTAAAACACTTCTCGCATGCCTGTTGTACTCCCAATTCCATTAACCTGATCTAGCACTGAGAAAGACAAAATAATTTGGAGTTACAATAGCTCATTTTTCTACAAATCAGAGGTCAGTGAGTTTTCATTTAATAGGTCATTCAGTTGTGGCGCTACTAATACTAATACTAAATACTGGTGTCACACACATATAGCTCATTTTTCTACAAATCAGAGGTCAGTGAGTTTTCATTTAATAGGTCATTCAGTTGTGGCGCTACTAATACTAATACTAAATACTGGTGTCACACACATATAGCTCATTTTTCTACAAATCAGAGGTCAGTGAGTTTTCATTTAATAGGTCATTCAGTTGTGGCGCTACTAATACTAATACTAAATACTGGTGTCACACACATTGATTGAACTGGCAAGAAATAGTCAGGCCCTCCTTGTTTGATGTTTTTCACCCCTACTGTGAAGAGCGTTAAGAAGACATTCATTAAATCTGAGAAGTTCTTTATTCTCAGAGACCATCACTCCAT